TGTTATTGACGAGATATATATAAACGTGATGTGATTAGCCAAGTTAAGAAAATTATGGAAGATATATCACACCCATTAAACTAAGATTTCGTCCATTGACATGCAAGACAACACGATACAGGAAATCTTTTGTTCATGCCATGCGTTTGATTGCATTTATTGTTGCATTACTTATTTGATTCTGAACTTTGCCACTGCTTCTTTTGATTTGTTTACTTGTTCTGTGCTTGGGTTAGGCAATGGTCATGACTGCCTGTGGGTTATGAGGTGCCTAAGTATGTGGGATGCAGCGCTTCGTATCTATAGAGAAAGGCGCTTTATAAATGACTAGATTGGATTCGTTAATACAACTTATGATTCCTGCTCAACTTTTTAGAGATAGTTTGTATATTGATCTGTGTATTTTTTTTATTCAGTTTTTCATATATATTATTTTTTAAGTGCAACTAATCATTGTGTTTTATTTATTTCATACAGTATTATTTTTGTACTGAGTTAAGCATCAAGGAAACCAAATTTCATGTTCGCCTTGTTTTGTGGTCATTATAATAAAGTTTATCTTATCTTTTATCTTATCATATATTTATATATATACATATATGTATTAATGACATATATTATATCAATTTAATAATACATTAATATTAATTTCATTCATTATTAAAATTCATAAAAAATTACAGAGACAAAAGAGAAATTATGAAAAATACAACAGAAACAAGTAAAAATATGCACCAACCAACATGACAAGATTGCTATAAAATTAACATTAATTACTGTCAGGTGGCTATATCCAAAAATGAGTACCGGTATACGAAACAAAAAATAAAAGCATGAAAAAAAAAAATAAGAATTTGTATTTTACCTCGCCAGCTCTTTCATTCGTATAATACCAATAGTTAAGTACATTGTCATTTAGGCTTAGTTCATGGAGATTCATTAACACTTACTAGTGGATATCCGTATATGAACGGATAACTATCTATCATCAATTGCAATGGTGTGTGTATAAACTGACAGTAACTTCAGATGGCCATAAAATGAATGTCAACGGATGTTCGTGTGTGAACGGACATAATAGTCCATTCTTATTAGGCCTACCTAAAATCATGAACATTGATATGTGTGAATGGACATACTGTACAAATGAGCAATCACTAAGATTAATCGTGTGTAAACTGGCAATTTCTTTCAGATTCACTGGCACTCAACACAAATTTAAACATACATTTAAACTGTTAAAAGACGGTTAATAATGTTTAATCCATTAGCAATTTACATTTGTTATCTTCGTACATAGCATGTCACCCAACCACATCAATAATGGAACCTACTCCTCACACTCAGCGCATGCTATAATAGATTAATTCAGACGATACATTCGTCACTTCTTTTTCTAGTCAGGTACGTACGCGTGCATTATACAGTAGGCCTGCGATGAATTTACGAATTTCTAGTTTTTGTTGTTACCAAACATTAAAATGGATAAATAAACACAGTAAAAAGATAATGGTAAATTATTTAAAGCAGAACTGCCGTTCCACATTTAAAATATTACAATAACAAGGACAACGTAAGGAAAGACTAAAAGCGAAGTCATAAATTAATGGGATTTCATTTTAGTTCAAGTGCTTTAAGGTTTTTTTTTATAATTTCAAGAATGTTATTACTAAATAATTATATTATTCAATTTGGAAACTAATTTTTAACTGACAATTATGATCATGACGATACTTTGTGTCAATCAGATACCGGTATGTAAACAAAGTACCGGTAAATAATAATGTTTTGTATGACATTTTTTTTACGCCTGGTCGACCAATGTGTTTTTAATGGTAGTTATTGGCCTCAAAATAAAATTACTTCATAATTTGCGATGTCTCTGAACGTCCTTACTGTATATCAGCCTAAAATGTAGGCGTATAAACCTATATTATACCACTGTATGATATATTTAACTTTTTCATTATTCTGTGTACAGTTGTATTGTATAATTACAAAGTATCACAGAGATCTTGCCTTCAGATACTTAAGAGAGTATATTATTATACAAATGTTACTTGTGTTCCTACTGCTCCAAAATATACAGAAAGAAAGTGAAACCAGTCTCGAAACAAGAAGATATTAGTAACCAAGTTGAATAAATAAATATGATATATATTCAATAGGTCTATATAAAACAGTTTTCAGATTATCACTACCGCCACCCTCATGTATGTGAACAAACCTAACTATGCTTCAAGGTCTACGATGTTCTAATTTCGTACGTTTATTTAGGGCAATTGATTGTTTATGATGACCTACACACCTACATAACATATTACGTTGCTTTAATTTCTTTCTATTTCTGTAGTTAGCTGTCATTACTCTTACCTACTACGTGTAGGCATCTGACGATATGGTAGCCTGAATAAATCATATAATACAAGATGTTTTGTTTCTCCATTTTTCTGTGCATTGTCATATACAATAATAATTATCAAAGTTGCAATGAGAATTGAGGATATGGTGAGGATTGCTTTCCAATCTCACGATGGTGAGTTTAATCCCCGTAAATGTCAACATACACACGCCATGAGCAATTCCCACCCCTCTTAATAATCTTCACATCGCATAGAAACACTGTACATAGCTATAGTTTGTCAATTGCTAATCAATGATTACCGAGTTTCCCTCTCTGAGGAGAATGAAGTGCTATTGCGTACACAATAATTTCCTATAGTGATATAATTAATACTCATAGGATGGAAGATCAATACAAAGTTGATTTAATCGCATTACAATCAAAGCATATATAGACAGATAGACAGATTTAATCGTTTCTTTTGCTATACGCCTTAATCAATTCCATTTTTCGAGGGTTAAAATAGTGACGTATGTTGGTTATTATACAACTCAATAATTATTTCGTTTTGAAGTGCAGTATACGACAATAACGTTTCGCATCGGTTTCTTATTATTTTTCCACCTGTAGCAATTGCAATACCTGTATACAAAACATGCCTTCAGACACAAAGTGTTACCCTAGCTAGGTCTCATCACTTCTGAGCATCGTAGCCAATTTGGCAACCAACTTTGCTTAGGTACAATAGGTTTATTATGAACATCCCGCAGATATTCATGAAAATCCCGTTCCTACTGAAGTAACCACACCCTACATTTCTTCATGGACATCCTTATGTGCACTTGTTTCATGAACGCACGACTAGACTTCACACCCATCAAATCTCGGATACGCACTCAATGGCGAAATTGTAGGCCTACATAATCGACAATCTAGTAATAATACAGTATATAAATAGGCATTTTGATGACAACGTAACCTATTATATGAAATAACAAGTCAAAGAGCACTATTAGTTGAAGCTTTGTTTCCCGTGGGACAATTATGCTGAGACTATTAAAATGTACTCCATTCATTAATGCATAGGTGTGCAATCTATTACGTAGACACGGTTACTATCAAAAAGGATGAAGCATCCATTATCGGTACAATCTATATCTGTGGCGATAGTGAAGCTGATTAGCGGCTACTTTTGCTACCCGCGGCTAATAGTGAACATTGACACAACAGAAAATATTCAATAAATAATTATTTGATATATACATATGTCCATATATATATAATACACACAACAAATATACATAATACACACAAGATATATACGTATGTTCAAATAATAGTAAACAATAATGCATGATGCAAACAAGGCTGCTGGTATAAAATTGTAAAATCAAGCATAGCATCATGTATTCCTATTCGAGCACTGATTTTATTAGTTATCGTATAATATAAGTACGTGTATACATATAAATCATGTTATACAATAGGGATAAACTCCAAACCGTCTTGCGATACTGCTATAAATTATTAGATACTATTTTGAACAATGAAGATAGAATCTGCAAGTAGGAAAATTCCGAACCCTTCTGCTATCTATCAGAGCCATTAATAATAATAATAATAATAATAATAATAATAATAATAATAAACATGTTGTAATAATAGTACCAACGAAAAGTGCATTTATTTCAGTTGTATGGGGTCAAGGAAGGAGCGTTCACATCGCGGTCCTGTTTTTACCAATCCTTTCACTACTATACACGAATCATTTTGTCGAGTTTTTAGAACTAAATCGACACGAATTAACAGAGTATAAATACGTGAATAGACACGGTAAGAAGTTGTATGATACAATTATTTTTGGCGGGATTCGAACCTAACCTCTAGCATTCAAGGAGAGACATACCCATTAGACAACGGAGACCTATAGGATAATAGGTGAAGATGTAACCCCCAGGCACTTGGGTGAGGAGC